GTGGAAAGACCATCACCACGTTCCTTGGTGCCAGGGGAGCATGACGAGATCCTCCAGCTCTCAGGACTTTTGGAGACAGCCCATAACACCTGCCGCTTAGGGTTCTCGTGGGGCTATTTGTTTGGAACACTTGGAGACCCCAAGGTGGAAATCTTTCTGAGAATTGTTAGGCATTATGCTGCTGACAAGTGACCTCAGGCCTCTTCCTTCCAACTGCCTAGTCACCTGGGATAAAGCCATGCTGACTGGGAGGAAGGGAAGCCGTCCCCAGCCTGCTCTGAACACATGCACACACCTGCAGATAGTCACGCTTTGACCTTCCCTGCCATCTTTCAAAAGATTAAAGAAAGCACAAATTATTCAGTAGTACGTGAAACAGACACCCCCAAATGCACACCAAATGGCCTCAATAACTACCAGACATCACATTCCCTTCTACCCGTACCCCCCTCTTACCAGTGAGGCCCAGGATTAAATATCACATGGCCACCAGAGCACCCTAGATTCCCAGGCAAGATTTCAGCTCAGCAAGCCCTGCTGACAACCATCCTCAGGCAGTTCTGAGAGCATTGGGGGTACAGAGCAATATCACACCACTGGTGCCTAGGTGGTGCCAGGTGAGAAATGCCCATGGATCTTCCCTGAAGGGTCTTCTCCTGGTCCCCCTCCTTCTTTCCCATTTTGTTCTCACTCAAGGAAAAACCCAGCATCCAGGAAAGTATGGGGGTTTTGCACACACTCTTTCTGATCCCATTCAGTTTATTTTCTCTGCTTGAGCAGAAACACATGGAAGAAGCCACCTCTGGTTGCCAGAGAAGTCAGATGAGAAGACGGTAGAGTCGTCTTTTCCATGTTAAATAGTATCTAAGACAGTGGTTCTCAACCTTGGCTGCACATTAGAATCACCTGGGAATCTTTTTAAAATCCTGATTTCTGGGTCTCATCCACCGGAAATTCTGTTTCTTTCTTATGGGGTGAGACCACAACATTAGTAACAAAGAAACAGAATTTCCGGAGGATGAGGCCCAGAAATCAGGATTTTAAAAAGATTCCCAGGTGATTCTGATGGGGGGGGTGGGAGCATGGGTTTTTGGGGAAATTTCTCGGGAAAGGGTTTTTTTTTTTTTTTTCCCGTATGGACGCTTCCGGGGGTTTTAAGCTATTTGGAAATAGGGGGGGGGGGCCCCAAGCCCAGGAGAAAGGAATCAAAGTTGGGGCGGGGGGGGGAAGTTATATTTTTTTTTGGGGGGGTTTTGGGGAGGTTGGTCTGGACTTTTGGGCGCCCGGTTGAAGAAGTAAGAGAAAATTAAGGGGGGGGCGGGGGGTTAAAAAGGGGGAAAAAGTTTTATTACAGTAGACATCAGGAATCTGACAGAGACTGCAAGATAGTGAAGTATTTCTTCACAATTAGGAACATGTCTTCCCACCGTTCCCAGACCGATTCTTACACACACACCATGTAGATCTCTATCCTGACTTCTCTGAGCATAGACTAGATCCATGGTCAGCAAACTGCGGCTTGCAAGCCACATGCGGCTCTTTGGCCCCTTGAGTGTGGCTCTTCCTAAGCCTTAGGAGTACCCTAATTAAGTTAATAACAATGTACCTACCTATATAGTTTAAGTTTAAAAAATTTGGCGCTCAAAAGAAATTTCAGTCGTTGTACTGTTGATATTTGGCTCTGTTGACTAATGAGTTTGCCGACCACTGGACTAGATGATTCTTGAAAGCATTCAAAATTAAGTAGAAATGATAAGTAGAAGTGATAAGTCATAATGCAGCTCTCTTTTCCATCAGATTTTGCAAATGTGTGGGATGTCTGGGCCACTCCCTTTGTTAATCCTTTTTCCTCTACCTGGCCACATTGTGATGCTTGCTGTGTTTCCTATCTTCACTGAAGATGGTTAAGGTCAGAGAAGGTGAAAACTCACCCACTTAGATTTACTAGTTCCCACTTACCCTGAGGACCAATATGATGAGAATGAACTTGTGTAAATCAGGTCAGACATTTAATTGTGCATTTTCAGTAGCTTTACTCTGAATAATAGTACATTATAGTTAATGTTCACCAATAGATTAGTGTCCAGAAGTTTCTCTGGGAACTGTACAATAGACTGTGTAAATACAAATCAAATAAAAAAGACCTCTGTCTGTCTTTCGCACCCTGCTTCTCCCCACAGTGGAGACATTCTCATTTAGCAAATGAATCAAATAATGAACTTAAAGCTGTGTTCTTGGTTGGTTTTGAGTTACACGTTAGTTAAGCCTCACCTTGGGTGTTAAATATTAGCCCACCATTGGCCCCTGGCTGCAGTGTAGGTGTAAATGTTTGACAGAAAAGTACACATCCCAATACACTAGCAGGTGCACCTGAGCGACTTTGGAAAGCTGGTTGGTGGGAATGGAAATGAACATAGAGTAGAAATCATCCACTGTGGAGACCCGGGACAGTGTTTCTGTTAAATCATTTGTATGCTGTTAAGTGATTTACATTCTCATGGGACCTGGTAATCCCAGAAATTCGATTCCAGGCATTCCTCCACATCCCAGCACTGCCAGTCTGTGTCAGTGACAGCAGCCTTAAAGCTCCTTCAGCCGTTTAAGCGTATAGAATTATTGTCCCCTTTCTTCCATCTACTCTTGTTAGTTCCCTTAGCCCACACTTCTAAGGCATTTCAGTAGCAAACATTACTACTCATCTTTGAAATTCCTAAGTCTGAAGGAAGCAGAACCATGTCCTTCCCACAAAAGATACAGGTTTGCTTTAGTGCATTGTTTTGCACAGGGGCACATTCTGGACCACACACAAAAAATTAGAAAACTCCATGAATTGGAGTTTAGTTTATAATTCAAATGAAAAGTAACTCTTGTTTTAGCTACCATTAATGACAGCTGTGATTCTGAAAATATGTTGGCTAAATCAGTGTCCTAATTGGTTTAGGGGAGCACACCCTCAGGAAGGTCACACACTGGACAAGAAGTTTGGGGTTGTCTCCAGCCCCATCACTGCCACTAAGGCCTCCTGACTTTGGGCAAGTCCCTTACAGTTTTTGGACTTCTGTTCTCAGTGTAAGCAGGGGCTGGACTAGCTGTGTCTAAGTCTGTCCTTACTCTAACTTTCTGTGCTCCAGTCACTCACTGCAGGATCTAGAGATGTTAGAAAGATAACAGTAATTTGACAACAGAAGTATCATGTTGGTTACTTTTCCTATTATTCTTTCACTAGTGGCCTGATGCACGAAATTCATGCACATTAAAGGGGAATTAATTAGAGGAAATATTTTAATATTGCTATTTGTTCTTTCTCTATAATAGAAGTGTCAGAGATGAAAGAAAATTAGTAAAATGTATATGAAAATCTCCCTCCTGTCAGAGTCTGGGGCGTGCCGTGGATCCCAGAGTCATGTCCCCACCCACCTGTGCGCCCCTCAAAATCACACGAGACCCAGTCCTGGCCAGCCCCACCCCCGTCAAGCCCCACAGGGTGGGGGGTGTGGCCTCAGGTCCCCCAGCCCGGCCTCAGGTCCCCTGGCCCCGGCATGAGGGTGCGAGGGTGAGATGACCATTTGCATATTAGCTCTTTATTATATAGGAAGAATGCTGATGGACTCCAGATTTCTCTTCATCTTTAAGATCTGAACTACAGGGTGTCCCCCCAAAAATGTATACACACTTTAACAGTTCATAGCTCAATTTTGAAAATAAAATGTATTTTAATAAACACTACCTTTATAATTATTCAAAGTGTGTGTATACATTTTGGGGGGACACCCTATATATAACAATACAGAGTTGTGTGCTTTAATTTTTTAAGAAGGTAGGTGTCATGTTAGGTGTTTATACTACACACACAAAAAAAGAGAAGAAAAAAAACACCCACATACACCCAAAGGGACTCAAGGAAAATTTTGGAGGTGATAGATATGCTTATTACTTTTACAGGAGTATGCATTTGTCAAAACTCAATCTAGTTATAGATATTCAACACACGCAGCTAGTTGTGTGTATCAATTATACCTTGGTAAAGCTGTTTAGAAAGGAGATATGAACTATATACACATTGAAAATATATATATTAAATAGAATAAAATATATATATATATATTTCAAAAGTTTTATGTCCTTTTAAGGCCATGTCCCTAGATCATGTTTAAATATTTGGGGAAAGGATGAGTAGGCCAGAGCGTTTTTACACTGGAACTCCAGAAAGAGCTGACCCATAGAACTGGCTGCAGTGGCAGCCCACAGCTGCCTCACACTCCTGAGTGCAGGAGATAAGTGTGGTGACCGAGGAACTGTATTCTTATTTTTTTATTTTAATTTAAAGAGTCACAATCCCGTATAAAGTTTCCTTCAATAAAGTCTTACTGTTGGTTTTGAAGTAGAGTTTACAAAGAAAATGCAGTTCATTATCAAGCAACCTTACTCCATTGACTAATCAGATGAACAGATTTGTAACAAGCTGGGGACTGACCCACTCCTTAATTTCTCCTGAAGATTAAAAGATGACGCCTTAGAGCAGTGATGGCGAACCTTTTGAGCTCGGCGTGCCAGCATTTTGAAAAACCCTAACTTAACTCTGGTGCCGTGTCACATATAGAAATTTTTTGATATTTGCAACCATAGTAAAACAAAGACTTATATTTTTGATATTTATTTTATATATTTAAATGCCATTTAACAAAGAAAAATCAACCAAAACAATGAGTTCGCGTGTCACCTCTGACACGAGTGTCATAGGTTCGCCATCACTGCCTTAGAGACAACTGTGCTGGCCCAGCACCACTGGGTCCATTCTGGCCAAGAGCCGTACAAAGGATGTCGGGAGCTCTTGGGGCCAAGTAATTCAGAGGCGTTGTCTCAGGACCCAGAGATGCTCATGTGTGTTTGAGATTCTGGGGAGCCCTTCAGGAAAAGCTCCTTTTAGGGAGATGGCGACTTCTTTAGGGAGAAGTTGCTGACTGAGTAACACACCTTCCTTGTCATTTGTTTCTTTGCAGGAGCTGATTGATGTGGACAGCGAGGTAGTGTTTGAATTAGCCTCCTACATTTTACAGGTAGGTAGCCCTCCCCGTCTGACCACACCCAGAAGAAAAGGAGTAAGACTTAGTGCAAAGCCAGCTGCCATTCCACAGCTCGGGGCCTCCAGTAGCTTAGCCACAGCAGGAAAATAATTATTAGGGACACTGTATGTGGCTGAAGTGCCTCCCAGTCTGTCAGGGTCATTCCTGGAGCCTTCACGGAGCAGGTGGTTGTAGCCATCCACCAATGGGACTACATGAAGGCAGTAAATAAGAGCTCTGGTATTTCAAAATGTTAAGACAGCATCTCTACAAAGGAAAATCACGTGTGTAACCTGAGCCTGAGGGACAGAGATCATTCTGGGACCCCATTTTCTTCAGCTTGGCGTTCTCCCCGACTCTGGAGAAAGCCAAGTAAACAGCAAGAATTAATTGCCAGGACAGTCACTTCGAGTGCTCTCTAGAAAGACAAGGAAAATAACTTTATTTTATGCGAAAAAGAGGTGTATCAAATATGAGCAACATTGGTGATATTAGCAACACTGCAGGATGAATAGAAATTATGTCATCAGCTTACCCCTTCCACAAAGATTTATTGAACAAGTACTTTGTTCAAGGCATTCTAGATTCACTAAAGGTTCCACGGTCCCTCCCTGGCTCCGAAAGTCTTTAGTACATTCAGAACATAGCCACACTACACGACAAAACCACGAGTAGCACAGAGACACAGACAGTGCTGCCCAGACACACACTCTGTTTGAAACTCGTTAAAGTAGAAAAAGTAAGAGCAGGGCCCAGCAGTGGAAACTTGTAGTTTGTCATTATTAGTCACATTCTTTGTATATAACTTTCTGAAGTTTAGTTTAGATTCTTATATTTCAGTGGCAAATGCACATGCCCCTTCTTAATTATATTTCTGTAGATGGGACCATGGCAGCATAAGCTGCACTTACTCAGTAGAGGAGTTGTTGTGACTATAGAATGCATTTTAAAGTATTTAACATGGAGTTGGAATGTTTCACAGTTGTTGAATTTTTTTCTTCCACAGGAGGCGAAGGGAGATTTTTCTAGGTAAGTTTACAAAAGTTTTTTTGCTTAAAAATGCATTCCATTGCATCTCTATTAAAAGAAAGTATTCTGCCCTAGCCGGTTTGGCTCCGTGGATAGAGCATCAGCCTGTGGACTGAAGGGTCCTGGGTTCGATTCTGGTCAAGGGTACATACTTCAGTTGCAGGCTCCTCCCTGGCCCAGGCCCTGGTCAAGGCTCGTGCAGGAGGCAACCAATTGATGTGTTTCTCTCACATCGATATTTCTCTCTGTCTTTCCCTCTCCCACTCTCTCTAAAAATCAATGGAAAAATATCTTCGGGTGAGAATTGAAAAAAAAAAATTAAAAGAAAAGACAGTATTCTTCCTTTTGTAGGAACACACTTTATAATAATAAATATTTATGATGAGATCCAGCTCGCAGGAAACTGACACGTCAGGCATACAAAATATAATGATAGTGAGGATATTCTGTACTAAATAAAAAACCGAGAGGCTACTAAAAGGCTGAAATGAGAACCCTGTGTCACGCATGGCCATGGAGTTGAGGTTTGCCAGTTGTCCGAGTGTCTCTGTGAATCACCACTGTGGTGTGAATAAGGCCGAAGATAACCCTGGAAGTCCTAATACAGAAGTTGACATCTTTATTTTCCTCTCTCAGTTTTAGTTCCTGACCCTCACGGGACAAAATGCTATCCCACAGGGGGGTTGTGTTCCTGAAAGTGTTACAACATAATACCCCTCCCCCCTTTTACTTTTCTTTCTTCATGTGTCATGTTAGAGACAACAGAGACAGCCTCCCATTGCGGAGCCTGCATGCTGCGTTCATACGCCTGGAGAAGCACAGTTCAGTCCCGCCATCGTTCCGTAGGCACCGCCCGCTCACCAGTCTGTCAGGGTCATTCCTGGAGCCTTCACGGAGCAGGTGGTTGTAGCCATCCACCATGAGACTGTTTGCTCCGAGACAGACCTTATTCCTGGGATTCTGTTGTATCCAACTCCCGTGGGGAGTCCGGGATAGCCAACTCTTTGGAATCAAGGTCTAGAGGCGGAAAGACCAAACCACATGTACAAGAGGACAGAGCATCGAGGCATAGGATTCTGACTTTTCTCATGCTTTGGGGCATTTGATCTGTAAATGCAGCACTAACTGCTTCAGTTGGTGGCCTGCCTGTACTGGTCCAGCTTTGTCAAGTTCATGCTGACTGGTTCTTCGGCTCTTAGCTGCTTTCTCTTTCCTCTCCTGTGCATTTCTAAAGCTTTCCAACACAACATGAGGTATATGTTCTCATGCAAATATCTCAGCAAAAGCAAAAAAAGTATTTGATAACCTAAAACAAGGATTGGCAAATGTTTTCTGTAAAGGGCTAGACAGTTAATATCTTGGGTTTGCAGGCCATACAGTCCTGTTGCAGTTATTCAACATCCCTCGCTCTACGTGCAAAAGCAGCTGTAGACAATCAGCAGTGTTCCAATAAAACTTACTTTATAGACTTTAAAATGTTAATTTCTTATACATTTCCATGTATTACAAAGTATTATTCTTTTATTCCCCTCCCCAATTATTTAAACTTATAACCCGCTTAGCTCACAAAGCAGAGGACTGGGTCTGGCCAGTGGGATACGGTGTGCTGACCTCTGACTCAAAAAGGCAGTCCCTTCAGCTCTGTTTGAATATTTGCATAAGGAGACCTCCAGCCCCTTTTATTTAGGTTTTCCAAGGTCTTGCCATAAGGCAGAGGTAGTCCATGTTTTTGTTTTTTTTTCAACTGAGGCTTTTTTACAGTCTAACTAGAGGCCCGGGTGCATGAAATTCGTACATGGGGGAGGGGGAGTGGGTGTTCCTCAGCCCATCCTGCACCCTCTCCAATCTGGAACCCCTTGAGGGATGTCCGACTGCCTGTCCAACTGCCCGATCTGGTGGGATCAGGCCTAAACGGGCAGTTATACATCCCTCTCACAATCTAGGACTGCTGGCTCCCAACCACTCCCCTGCCAGCCTGATCACCCCCTAACCACTCTCCTGCCAGCCTGATCGATGCCTAACTGCTCCCCTGCTGGCCTGATTGCCCCTAACTGCCCTCCCCTGACAGCCTGGTCACCCCTAACTGCCCTCCTCTGCAGGCCTGGTCACCCCCAACTGCCCTCCCCTGCTGGCCATCTTGTGTCCACATGGGGGCGGCCATCTTGTGTGTTGGAGTGATGGTCAGTTTGCATATTACCGCTTTATTACATAGGCTTAGGAGACCTTGAACACTGTAGGTGGCCAATCACCATTCACTGAATTTGTTGAATGAAACATTTTTAGGATACAAAAACTACACTTTGTTGTGATTTTCCTTTGTTACCCTTTTACACCCTTCATTTGGTATTGGAGTTTGGAGGTTTTGAGGTACTGTGGGAGGGCTCAGGGCATGCCCGGCCCATCTTGCTCAGTCCTGATAGGCCGGGCCCCAGCAACAAGCTAACCTACCAATTGGAGCATCTGCCCCCTGGTGGTCAGTGCATGTCATAGCGACTGGTTGACCGGTCGACTGTCTGTCCCCTGGTGGTCAGTGCATGTCATTGTGAGAGGTTGAGTGGCCTTAGCATATCATTAGCATATTACACTTGGATTGGTTGAACAGACGACTGGACGACCGGGCACTTAGCATATTAGGCTTTTATTAGATAGGATGGTCCAGGGCATAATTCTAAGATATTCTAGAACCCAAAGGATCAAATAACCTTTTGAACTAATGGTTGCACCAAAAAGGCAAAGTAACTCTTTTGTAGCCTGAGGGTCCTGATCTATAATTTCCTAAAAAGCTACCTTTGCTCAGGACACTATTATTCTGTTTACATCTTACATATATTGTATATATGAATATATACAAAGTGCATTTATGGAAAATGAGTACTAAAAATCTACAAATCACAGGACCAGTTGCCTTGAAGCAGCAGAGGAAGAGGGTTATTTTATAAAAGGGAGAAGTCAGAAGTGCTGAGCCGCCTGCACAGAAAACAACCGCAGAAAGACAGCCCAGAATCAAAACCCTCTTCCTCATGAAACCACAGGCTCTTCTGTTTCTTCTTTTGGACTCTGAGCTCAGCAGACCCCAGAAGCCTCATTTTTACATAGCACCCCTTTTTCTGTCCAGTTAAGGGAAATGCTCACTTCCTTATCCTACTGAATTTCACAATGAATTCTTGCGTTCAGTGTTGCTGAAAGAAAATGACTCAGGTATAGATAGATAAGAAGAATTGCCCACAATAGGAAGAAATATATGTTATACATTCTAACACATGGTGGACAAATTTATAGGATATCATTAAAAGTTTAGGAAATAGTCTTATCTAAAAACAATATTTTCTCTCTTGTATTATTTTCCTTAGCATAGTATGTAGTCATTGTATTTCATTTCCTGTTGTATATCTAGTAAAGTGAATGTCCATCAACCATCAGGAAATCAGTAGAGTTGGCATGTCTGTTTAAAAACAATTGACGCCTAAAAACTGTTAACCATGGCAGTTTTATAGTCAAATATTAGGTTGAGAAGGGTCAACACAGTTTAAAAACAAAATGTTCTCATTCGATAATCACTGCTGAACATTAGTCAACTACATTTTTTATGACTTACACATACTTTATTCAGCACAAACTCTGAAGTAGTTTGAGTGCTTAGCACTGCCATTTCCTATTAGAAAATTTTTAAACTTCAGGTTATTGTAGAAAATTCTCTTTAAAAAGGTAAATGCAGGAAACACCTCATTTAAGAAACTGAACGGGACATTCAAATTATATGCCTACATTCTAATTTAATTTAATAGAAGCCATTGCTACACTGTATTAAGTGACGTGTTACAAGAACTTAAGTTTTTGTTTTTTCCCTGACGGGACCTTAACTGAAAACCCTAGTGGCCAATCTCTATACCCTGACTTTGAGAATCGCCTCGCTTTACTTTCTGTCAGCCCTTCTGAAAGTGTGCCACCAAAAAAGAAGGAAAAATATCATTTTAAACATTTTGCCAAATTGGTGAATTGGTTAAAAAATACTTTATGCTGAACAGCACAAATAAATGCCCAAATCACTCTGCCTTTGATATATATATATAAAAAACCCATACATTAACAGGGACTAGTAAAAGACATCTGTTATGTAGAATTTTTTGTTAACAAGATTTATTGAAACCAGATCACTACAGCTCTGTTACTCTGGGCCATCTGCTGGGATCTGGAAATACCTTTGTTACAGAGGACCGGATGTACTGATGCTAATCATTAAGACAGGGTTCTACCAGCACAAGATTTATTAGGACCTGTAAGCAAACAGCACCTGAGAAAGGCTGATAGTAAGGCAATTCCGTGTGAAGATTGCTTACCTGTGCAGCAGGCCTGTCGTGTGCACGAGAGGCAATGGAGGGGCCTACATCTGCAGACTCTATTCCAAGTCAGCACAGTGACCAGAGAAGAAGAAGGAAAATTGTGATTGAGTACTTAGGGGTCAGTGTATGTGACATCTGTACAAAGTTAAATGCTCGTCCAAGTCGCTTCTCAGCACCAGTAGTCAGTAAAAAAAAACCTTACTGTATCTCTGATCTGTCCACCTGCAGGTTTCTAATGCTATTCCTTAAAAAGAAAGAAAATGCTTTTAGAAATAGAGCAATGCATTACTCAGTCAATAGAAATGAATAGCAGTCCTTCATTAACAAAGGAAATTGCCTTTAACCTCCATTTCAGAAGAGGAGATGGAGTATTTATTTGTGCTGAAAAATCCCTTTTCTCTTTCACATACTGCATGTTCTTGGTACTCTGGGATAGCAGTTATAAGCAAACAAGCAAATATAACCCTTCCCCAAGAAGACAAAACCAGACCTTTTAATATTTTATCTTCTGTAAACCATTGGACCATGTAATCTGGAAAGTTAAATGAAATTTCTGTGACCAAAAGACACCCTCTTGATTTTTTTTTTATTTTTGTTTGAAATGTGTTCTGCCTTTTTAAAGAGTGTTTGTGAATTAATGTGAACGAAACTTTGTTTACT